ATGTAAGTAAGCTCTTTTAATTTGAATAGAAGCCTCACTTAACATGTTCTCAATACTGTAGTATTAGCCCAGATTTAGTTTATCTACTTCTGCTTTTAAAATTAAAATATATTTTTTTTGGGGGGGTATGGGCGGGGGGGGTGAGAGAGAGAGAAAGAAATTTTGTTTCTAACACAGAAGAAAAAACACTAGAGAGATAGAAGTTCCTTAAATAAATTGAATAATTGCCTTTAGATTGAGTGCACCAAGCAGTACAACCGCTGAACACTGATAGTTCTATCGTGATTCAAATCCTGACGAATGGGCTGACTGTTTGGTAGTTTTCGTGTTTTTCCCCGTGCATAACATGAATACGAGCCAGTCTTGCTTAAAATCCATCCCTTAAGCAGGTGTTTAACAGTAATTTAAATAATCCTAATCCTTCTTTGATGAATATTCAAGAGACAAAATGATATTTTAGGATTATGGCGGAAAACAGGTACGTTGTTATTGGGTCATATCGCTTTAAAAAAACATTTAAAAACTGCGATTTTATATTAGCAAACCCCTTTTATTTTCTATACAGCATTTATCTAGAATTTCTTAAACAGCAGAAAAAAGAAAAAAAAAAAAAAAAAAAAAAATCAGGAAACTTTTTATTAGAAATGAGTGCCATAACTAAAAGTGCATAAATCATCTTCAACAAACTTCACGCATAAAGCAGTTGGTGCTTTTTATAAGCGGAAGGCGAATTTTGTAGAGAAGAAAAGTAAATTTTGTGCACAAAAGCTATTACGACTGCAAAATATAATAATAAACCTTCGTACTTACCACATACCTTATTTTGAAGTTCAGAAAAATAGGATAAAAATTGCGAATATTAAAATTTTATATTAATACTTCGATGATTTTGATTCGCCGATTAAGTATCAGATACATTTTTTTAATTTTTTTATTTTCAATGGTAGATTATGAACAGTTACACAAAAAACAAGAACAAAGAACATAGAATGCAGCAACACAATGTTAAAAATAATAATTATTAAAAAAAAAACTGCAACAGAGTCCATTAATCTAACAGATCTTTTGCCTCCCAGTAACGCTCGGAGAGAAAATTCTTGCGCAGAGCAGGACAGTGGGGCAGATGTGTGGCATCCATCACCTCTCCAGAGCTGTACAGAGAGTACATATCGGAGAAGGAACAATTTTAAATCTACGTATAAAGATGATATCCAGATACAAAAATTTTGTTAATTATTTATTATTTCATCGATTCTTGGTCAAAATCAGCTTCAAGTCGTCGATGACTGGAGGAAAAGCTTATTGTTTGCAACAACGATAAGCTTGCAAAACTAGTTACAGTTTAAACATATGTAAGATATGTAATTCCAAATATTACCAAAGGCTCAATTTTTGCAGTAAAATTTGATAGCAAACGACATGAATGTATAACGAGATAGATTGTTTATTTTAGTCAGTACATATGAGCTAACGATAAATTAATGTTTAACATGCACAAAAAATAATATTGATAATAACAACCTAAAATTAATTTTGATAAAGAACCTAATAGTTTATTCTACTAAAGGGTCTGAATACAATTTAATTTTATTGCTATTCCTTATGCTCAAATAAATAAGTCTAATTCTTTCGGTAATCCATTTGCATTTTTTAAACTATAATTAAAGATCAAATATAAATTTAAACAGATTTAATAATTAATTTTAATAAAGAAATTATAATGAAAAGAGCTAAAAAAAAACATTACCCAGGAAGTATAAAGCAATATGCGTAATGCCTGGTCAATGTGGTAACTGAGAAACACCACACTGACCGGAGAAATACCACATTGCTTATTATCCTGCCCGCGTCTCAAAGCTATATATACATCACCAGCACCATGCTCTGTGCTATTAAAATATAACTAAAAATAACGTCCTATTAATCACTGTGTCCAATTACTTTCATATAGTAACAAATAAGAAATTACTGCTGAGGCTGATTTAAAGATTTCAGTTTGTTGCTTCATGAACTAGCTAATGCCATTTCTCACTGCAGTATAAAAGACCAATAAGCAATAAAAGGCTAAGATCTGTTTTGCGATGATCATTCCTCAAGTGACATTTCCAGTTTGATTATTTTGAGATGATGAATAAAGGACGGGGTGAAAATATCTGAACTCTCTTCTTTAAAATAAACTGATGGTTATCGAATCGCGCCCACCCTCTTTTCAATATCTTTTTCCCTAGCCCCACCCCGATATTGAACGCAGCTATTACAGTAATTTCGAACCGCTTTGTTACCATCTCCGTAAGTAGCTGGGAAGGCTAAAGTGAAAGAGTTTTCTGCCATCTCCCCCTCTAAGTAATCCAGGTGGCGGATGTGTTCAGCAGCTGCTTCCGCTGTCCAAAGCACTTCCGTTGTAGCAGAGACGGTGGCGCTGCGTTTCCGCTGCACCACCTGCGCCGCCCCGCCACTCATCCCCGGCTATTCTCATCGAGAAATATGGCCCGCACACATTCTTCAATCCCGGAAACTCAGTAAACAGCGCATTTACTACGGCCTCGCCTGCTCACTCGGCCTTTACTAAAACATACATCTTTTGCCAATGTGATCGAGATCAGTTTGCTTAATGTATACATATTGGCAAGAGATTTTCTCGGGTATGAAGAGGAAGTTTTTTTTGCCACTTAAATAAATTTGAGTGATGTTTCATTTTTAGACCATTGAAAGGATATTTAAGCAGCAGAATAATGGAATATATATATATATATATCAATATAAATTACACGCAGTGTGAATCTCATCAGGATTTAAGCTATTACAGTGCTGTCACTTGAATCTCAAGTCATTGTAATTCAACAAAACATACATAATTAATTTGCTAAATCATCGAGATATTTACTCAAATTTATAACTTCGGTTTCATTTTTGACTGATATTTTTTATTTACCATGTTACTTCTTCCCGTTACAGCATTTCTGTATTTCAAGCTGGAAGATAAACAAGCCAATGCAAATTTTGAAACTAAACAATAAAAGCTTAAAATAAAATTAAATAAATTGACTTAGTTTTAAAGCAGATTTTTAGTAAAGCTCTTATCAGAAACACTCCCCCCCCCTCCTGAAAAAGAAAAAAAAAAAAAAAAAAAAAAGACTTGTTTCCTTTCGTTATTCAAAATCTATGACAAACTAAAGTCTGTTTTTTGGGCAAATTTTCAATTTCTGTATTTCACATACATGTCGAATGGGCATGGACGAATGAGATTGAATATTGGCTCTGGCAATATTCTTCACCTAGTATTCAATTAGTGCGGTCTTCCTGCTTCAGATTCATTGTTATTTTAGATTTTGCACTTTTATTTAACATGCATTGATTTTATCAACTTAACATACAACTTCTCCAAGCTGTCTTATGAACAATTCCGAATTCCCTGAAAGGGATTTCCTTTCAAAATGTGGCTTATATTTAATAACATGTTCTAGACTAGTGAAGAAACAGAAGGTGAATTGTTGACGACAACGCAAAGTTATATGCTTCATGCGACTTAAGAATCTTAATATTTTGCTACCTTTCAAAATTTTTTAATTTTTATTTCTGAAATTTGATTTAAAGTTTCATAACATTCTTAAACTATGTGTTTAAAAATTATAAAATATCTGTCAAAATTAAAGCCACGACGATGAATGTCTCAAGCACAGAAATTTTGATCTGTCATAAGGTTTTCCTTACATTTTTATGCAAATATCTGCGATAGCTAGAATATGCCGAACAATGCAGCGCCTTGCTTTAAAATGATTGCAGTTTGACATGACATATCGTTTGATACCAAATGATTGGCAGGAGATCTTACTAATCACAACAGCTAAACAATCATTCGTGTCCAAACAGTCTTCATTCATTCACGAAAAGGCAGGTTAAATTACGGTTTCGATTCGGAAGAATATCCGGTGACTCCTGGCGCATGCAAATGAGCGCCTGTCCGATATCAGAGGAAGTGAGCGCTAACCATTGCAGCTTCTATGGACTCATTCCAGTTAATTCACAAAGCTGGCGAATCAGGCATGGCAAGGGACAAGGAACGGATCCAATCAAACAGCGAGCTCTGATTGGTCGGAGCATCCGAAGTGTCATGAATGGAAGTCAAGAATTGACAGATATTCGCTCGCAAGGTCGCTCGGCCAGGAAGTGCATCCGTTCAGCTTATTGCGTGGCTGCCAGGGTTGTAGCAAATCGGGCTTTTCATTTTAACGAGGGTAATTGGATATTCGTTGAAATACGGTTAAAAAAAAAAAAAAAAAAAAAAAAGATTACACCGGATTGTTAATGCAAGAATTTGGCAACTCTACAGAATTAGCGATGAATAAAAAGCCAATATGACGAGTTGTTGTTAAGCATTTTTGCATTACGTAATATAATAAATTGAATGCATGTAGTATTAATACTTATATAAAAGCATTAACACTTTCGTGCATTATATACAGGATATTATAAATTCTGGATTACTGGTGTTAGCGGAATTTAATTTAATTATCGTCTCAAGAAAATGGCGATCGAAATGTATATATATTATTTTTTTGGTTTCAAACTTTAATTTAAATATTCACACCACATATTAAATATTTTAGCTTTCTTAACAAAATTTTGACTTAGGCTTCAACTATTTTTCACTTTTAATATACCGATACTAAATAGGCTCTACACATTTTTCCTCTGACAGGATAATCAATTAAAAAATAATTTCTTTTTCAACTCGGACTTTTATATAGTATATATATGTAAGACATAACAAAATATGATAGCTGTTTCAGAAAAATAATTGGCGACCTCAAAATTAACATTCTAAATTTGGTGATCTGCCCCTAAATTCATCTCTTCTCACAGGTTCCAGATTTTTCTATCTTACGTAACGTTTTAATGCAGATGCCTCTTGTCCAATCAAATTAATTGTAAACCAAAACTCTGAACTGAAACGTTTCCGACTCCCACCCTTCTTCTGAAAGTACTATAACTTTCCCCTTTTCCGCGTTAGCTCTCCTGCTGGTAAGACGCTTTTAATCCATGCTGCTGCCGCTTACATGCTTAAGATGAAGTCGTACTTCAAAATGCAACTACTGTGATTTTTCAAGATACGTTGTGCTAAATTGCGTCATCATGCTTTCCACTCTGCCACCTTCGAGCCACTGTGTTCTTCTCAGTCATCTACGCAATATCGTAAGCAGATATATATATAGGGGTTGGGAAAATAATGTGCAATTTAATCCGTTTTCTGTAATTAAAATTATTTTAAATATTAAATTTCTGAATTGGTTAGCTCAGAAACGAGCTAATTTGCTTTCAGATTTCTCGAGAAACAAAGCCCTTCATAAAGATCTTTTTGTTTATTCATATTTCTCGAATTTTTGAGTGTTTTTTTTATGGAAATTCGTTCTTGTTTGGTTTTGGTTTATCTGACTATCTTTAATATTGTTCTCGGTTTCAATTTTGTATTTAATTTAAGTTTACCACAAAATTATATAATTATTAAAGATTTATCACTTTTAAATAAATATCGTGCAGTGACTGTTTGCACTGTTTTGTACTACTTCCTATAGTTCTACTTTTTATATCTGAATATGATATGTGAACTTGATTTAAATTTAAAATTAACTTTAAATTACATGTATGTACGTGCGTATGCAAAACTTGTAAAAATTATTGTTTAAGTCTTTCAATAAACGCTTAGGGCCATCTCTTATATAATTCTTAAGCAAGAATTCTTATGAATCTGTTTACTTAGTTAACAGTAGCCAGTCGGTGCGCAAGATATTGCTGTTGAATTGAATTTCTGGTTTAAGTGCGAAAAACATGATATTTAATAAATAAAGGTAACACACTAAACGTTAAAAACGTAAAAAAAAAAAAAAAAAAAAAAAAAAAAAAAAAAAAACCGCTCCTTTGGGCGTAATATAAAGAGATGTTCTGAGTATAACCAACTGCATGAGACTATGGGACAGTACCCAGCTATTCCGTAGCTTCCTTTAACAGGCAAAGAGGAACCACAATAACACCAAAATGCTTCAAAAATTATGAACTGCACGTTTTTTAAGAGCTTGTATTCTCAACTAAAACATGGTTGCTACAAAAGGAAATTTATCCCCAAAATGGTTTGGTTTACGTGATTACGGCAAAGCCTCGGGGCTATCTGCCTAAGGAGGGATGCCTTCATGAAGAACTTTTTAAGGGAAACTGGCTCGTATACACGTAACACATGGGAAAAACCGCGAAAACACCCATGCAGCCTCAACCACCCAAACCTCGAACCGAACTACCATTGTTCAGCGACTTGATCGCTTGATCGCTGGTGTGCCTCAAAAAATGGAGCCTTTGTTGTAGGCATGATGCAATAAATCAAATTCATTAAGAAGTATGGAATCTTAATTATAGCGTTATTAAAATACACTAAAATAACTTTGAACTACACACTTTGTCTACTACACACTAAAATAACTTTGAAACCTATTTCATTTCGTGTATATTTCAATCCATATATGTATGCATATATATATATATTTCAAATCTATAAAATGAACTAAGCTTCGAATATAATTAAATGATTGTTATTAAAAGAAAACCTAAAAAAAATTAAAAAAAAAAAAAAAACCTGCAAAGCAGGCAAGTAAGAATTTATACAATACATATGCATACACGAAATCGAACAGATCTAAATCAAGGAAGTGCATTAATCAGATGTAGTAATGTGAACAAGCAAGAAACGATGAAGTAATTTAAAGATATCTTAAAAGGATAGCAGAAATTAAATTTCTTTATTTTTAAATTGAGAAACCATCAAAGAAAGCCTATTAATATCACTACCAAAAGCAATTTTTGCAAACATATGACACATCCCCCAGATTCTTAGAGATTTCAAAAAATATGTATGCTTATTTTGTTAAAAGTAAAGCAAAAATATGCAACATACCTATAGTCATATTGTGTACATAATTAAACTTCGTAGAATGCTTCAGCTTATAGTTTCATACACAGTTACATAAAATGAAATGCTTACGAATACTAAGTCTCATTCTGAAAGCTGTTTGGACCAAAAGCGTTTGGTTTGGTTTATTTAATTATGGCAAAGCATACTAGGGCTATCTGCCTAAGGGGAGGGATGCCTTCGTGGAGGACTTTCTAAGGGTAACTGACTCGTATACACGTTACCCATGAGGAAAACCACGAAAACACCCATGCAGCCAGCCCGTTCGCGGGATTCGAACCTCGGACCGAACTACCAGTGTTCCGCGACTTTACCGCTCGGCCGCTGGTGGGCTTCCAAGAGCGTTTGATGCTTTATAGTTATTTCTGCCAGGGCTGTTGTAACTATTCCGGTTTATAAATTGTCTTATTTTCATGATGACCTTGTATTACATGCTAACTTTCTTTTTATATAGTCATAAATAATAAAGAATAATACTGCTTAACGTAGCAAAGGAAGAAAGGACAATAATGCGCGTTATAAACTGCAGTGTAAAATAAAATAACTAAATAGGTCAAAGTATTCGCCTAGCGGAATCCGGTATTTTTGAAAAAGAAGTTAGTTCTAAAAGATTATATAAGCAATCTTGATGATGTAAATAGAAAAATTTAAAAATATATTTGGAAAGCATATAAAAAATTAAACACAAAAATATATAAATAAATAAACGGGAATATGAATTTTTCTACAAACCGCCGTCTCAACGGAAGGAGAAGGGGAGCGTGACTTGACAATATTCTAGTTTCATATCTGAATTGCTCAAAGAAAACCTTAAATAGATTTATACTAATCAATAAGTAAATTAATAATGTTCCTGTAAAATAAATTTATAAGTATCACACAATGAGTTTGTACATAATATTTTAATTTGTATATATATATATGCATATATGTATTTATATACGCTTAAAAATTATTGTGAAAAATGAGCAACATTAATGTACATTCGATCTTAAAAATTAGTTTAAGTTTATGCTTTACGCATGCTAAAGTTTAGTTTAGTATGCCATAGCTACATTACTAATGAGCTAAGAATCTCGGTTCATATTGTCTACTACACACTTCTTCAAAGCTTTTAAATTTTTAACAACATGCTTACGAAACTGAAGACTGAATAAGACATTCGCAAAGCTAAACATCAGCAAGCGAACCCAGCTACGTCCCCGGTCTCTTCTTCCGGTTTCAGTCGCCCACCGCCCACGAGCGGTAAAGTCGCTGAACTCCTGGTAATTCGGTCCGAGGTTCGAATCCCACGAACGGGCTGGCTGCATGGGCGTTTTCGTGGTTTTCCCCATCTGTAACGTGTATACGAGCCAGTTTCCCTTAGAAAGTCCTTCACGAAAACATCCCTCCCTTCAGGCAGATAGCCCTTGTGTGCTTTGCCATAATTAAATACACCAAACACACCAAACACCGGTTTCAATTGCGAGAACCTGAAGAACCTCTGGCCTTGAGACTTCGTAGGCTCCCTCGGCAAGATTCGAACCGTGGATTTTCCAGTGCTAGTTGACATGTTAACAATCTATATCACAAGGAAGGGAATGGGATAAGTCTTTACATTATCCCAAATTTAAAGGGCAAATGGGGTAAAGCAGGACACCTTGTCGACCAAATAATCGTCATGAAAAATTATCATTAATTCTATTTTACTTCAGGCTCCCATGCAGAAACTATTAGGTTTTCTTCAGAGTAAGAAATGGGGAAAATCGACTCTGCCTTCTTCAGGTTTAAACCACGAATCTTCCAGTGCTAGGTGGACGTGCTTACCGCTTAGACCATGACAGCATACATGTAGAATGCAATAATTCTTTATACAGAAACAAATAATCTGAAGTCACATCTTTGAATACGAAGTTCGAAAGTTGGGTTTTAATAGTGGTGCCCGAATAGCAAAGTGAAACTCTTTGATAAATAGTGATTTTATTAGAGGGGGGGGAAAGCAAAATTTTTTACAAGCTTCAGAAAATTTCATCCCCAAAAATACTTTGTATTATGTGAATTTTTAAAGCATTAATAAAACTATTTTTGTCAATTAAATTTGTAAAGTTGTCAGTAAGAATGCAAAAGATAAAGCGAAACATGAGTAAATAATCTTTACATGTTGAATGTTATGTCAGCATCAGTATTGGAACCTAATTTGTTGTTGCAGTACTCATAAACATTAGAAATAAGTATAACTAGTAATTCATCTAAAATGTTTATAAAAAAACTGTTGAAGTGAAAATTTAAATATTGTTATGTAAACAAATGTATTGTTAATTTTTCTTCAGATAAAAATATTGGAACAATGTCAGTCATCATTCAAAGTGATAGAAATTTAGGATTATCATAAGCTTACTGTTATTAAGCGTGCTTTAATATCCAAGCAAAAATGTGATGATGATTTCAAAGAATATGTTGATTTTGAAAATTTTCTTTCAGGATAAGAGCAGAAATAGAGTTATCGATTACTATTAAAAATGCATTTGAAATATTTTATTGAATATTTTTTTATTGCTTTGTTAAAATCTTTGCCTGTTAAATTTTATCGTTTGATTAAAGCCTTTTTGAAATATTATCTAAGCTTTCCTTTTTAAGAGAAATATTTTTTTTATAAAGATGCATAGAATTTTCTTTATTTATCCATGTTGTAAAATATTCTGTTTGAATGTATATATTTGAAATATTCTGTTTGGACAAACTTGGTATTTAAAAATGCTCTTTTTTATTTCATTTATTTTTATTTAATTATTTAAAATAATATATATTGAACTTGAACAGTTATGTTTATTATGCACACTGTTATGACTGCTGCACGAAGCTGCTAAAAAATGTCAAAAATTTAGAGATTTTGTTTTGTATACTGATTCAGTTTAACATCAAGCTGCTGCAAAATCTGAATTTTATAAAATTCTCTGCATTTTCTCTGACAAACGGGGAATAAACTTACTTAACCAACAGTGAAAAATTGCTACTTCGCTTACTTAACCAAGAGTAACCAATTCCAATCTGTGTTTTTCCAAAGATACAACGTTAATTCGTTGAATTTCTCAAGGTCTTGCGATTTTGCCAAACTGGTAGTATTTTTTACAGCTGAATGACAACAGTATTGATCTCTTAACCCGTCTGATAATCCTGCAAAATCATATTTTCATATTTATTTAGGCGGAACGGAAATGACTTAAAAGAAAAGTTACTGATTTTAACAAATAACGTAATGTGTAACTTTTCCTATAAAGTAAAAATTTTGCATGTAAATTTTAAAATTTATTCATTAATACCATGTATTTAAAATAACAGCAAATAAGAGACTTTTTTTTTTTTTTTTTTTTTTATCTGAAGTGGTTAAGCGGTGCTATTCAGATTGTTTTTGTGTCTGTTTGAATCTTCTGCTAAAGAAAGCTCGACTGTTTAAAAGTATAAGTAATTATTTCTAACCAATTAAAATTTCAGCTAAATTTTATTTCTTCATGCACCATTTTGTTAGTGGTAAATATGGCAAAATATTAAATGATAAGAGTGACTAACATTCAGTTCATTCTTCGTTTGGCATCAGTAATTTATAGATGCATTAGCTTCTTTCATAACTGGAAAATGTAACACTAATTCGAGTACCTATTTTTTTTTCTTTGTTTACTTATAATCACCCTCGTTATCAACAACCTTTTGCCATCTAGTGTGCAGATTTTCAATCCCCAAACCGATATAAATCAATTGGTTTTTGAGTAAAATATCTCGAGATGGCATTTTGGATATCATCCAAATTTTCAAATTTTTTGTCACTAAGAAAATGTAGGGACCGGAATAAATGGAAATCCGAGTGTGTGACATCGGGCGAGTATGGTGGGCGATGCAGCACCTCTCATCCCAATTCATTCATTTTTTTCCAGTGTCGGTCTTGCACAGTGCGGTCTTGCATTGTCGTGTTGCAGAATGATGCCTTTTCTATTGACAATCGCCGGATATTTTTCGATTAAAGATTCGTTCACTCGATCCAGTTGTTCACAATAAAGATCTGCATTAACAGTTTGACCAGGTTTCAGCAATTCAAAATGAACAATTCAGCGAATACTCCACCAAATACACAGAAGCGCCTTTTTGGGATGTAAACCCTTTGTAACACCTATTAAAACTGCCTTTTGCGTTTTGGATTATCATATAGGACCCCTTTTTCGTCTCCAGTAATCAAATGATCAAAAAACGGTTCTGTATGGTGCCGTTGAAGCAATACGTTGCATGTGATGGATCGGTTGGCTTTGTTTTCTTCGGACAGATTATGGGGGACTCAAACACCTGCTTTGCTTATTTTTCCATTCTGCTTTAAATGTTTTTGGATAGTCGAACAAGGTTGGTTAAGAGTGTTTGACATGGATTTGCTTACACTTCTGCCCTTAGCATGTTGTTGTCGACATGCGCAGAAACGACATTACTTTCCGGTCCCCCTATTATAATTTATTGTCGTCGAGGGTAATGAGTATTGCCGGATATGCTTTACTTCTTAGAATAGAAGAAAAAGGGGAAAAATCAAGATAATTGTGAGAAGCACAGGTTCTGGAATTTCTTTGAATATTTTTACAAGTGAAATTGGTTTTTGTTTTGTGTAATGTAAAAGTTATTTTTTGATTGAATAATTTTAACTATTTCACTTATTTTACTTATGAAATCATCCAAAATAACATTCTGTTTTTGAAACATCCATTTTTTAATTCAAATAATATGCAGAGGGCTATTTGTATTTTATCTTTTTTGGAATTATTTTAGGTAGCTTTTAAGTGCCTATAGTTCAATACAACAAGCAAGTTTAATAAATTTTAATTAAATATTTAATTTATAGTTATTTCAATATAAGTGTTAATATTCGTTTAAGATAAAAGTAATAAAGCTAAAGAAAATTTTCAGTTCAAATTCTCAGAATATCAGCTTTTGATATTTATTAATAACTGTGTATGCAACTGCTCCAGTTTATTATTATTATTATTATTATTATTATTATTATTATTATTATTATTATTAGACTTAAGACTGCATCAGTATTCAAAATGTACTCTTCCAGGCTGTTACAAACTGTTGCATTTCTGAAAAGTTGCTACCTCGCTTACTTAACCAACAGTGTTCTTTGCAATCACGTCACTATATCAAAGGTTTCCAGTGGGATCGGTTCCTTAGGGGCTTTTGAAATTTTAAAAGGGGGCATTGATGATCTGGGCGTCGATAGTCGAGTATGCAATGGCAATTTATCAGCATAGTCAAGATCCCATTGATTACAAAAATGCATATGTATGCAAGTTTTGGATTTTAAAAGTCAGACAAGAGAAATGTCCCAGAAGTTGTTATTGAACCAACATTATTGCTTCTTCACTCTTCTTACCTAGTATAAGTAGGCTTGAGTCGAGTCAATAATTTACTATTGGAAAACAAGAAACAGGTTGAGTACTTCTGTAGGACTTGATTTAAGAATCGATTTTATGCCAAACATTAAAAAATTATATCACTACACCAAGCACAGCCATCACATTAATTCAAATTGAGCTTTTGAACAGTTAAAATCTGATATGTTCCTGAAAGCTTGTTTATATTTCTAAAATTTAAAAAAAATAATACAAAAAATAATAACACATAAATCTAATAAACCATTTTTAAAAATAGTGTGTAAAAAGTAGTAGTGGCCAAGCCGAAGTAGTGTAGTATTGCAATGATATTACATACTTGCTATCATAAATTATAATGGTAACATGAGTCATGATATGTGTATGAGAATAATGAAAGAAAAATATATATAAAGGTTATATGAAGGATTAAATAATGCATGATGTTATGTAGCTGTGTATTAATACTTGTACTTCTTTTCTTTAGGTTCCTTCAATCGTTGATGTAAGTTGGACTCAGTGATGGTGTACAGGTACTAAGTGTGTAAGATATAGGTACTCAGTCATAGTGTGCAGGCGTAAGATACAGGTACTCAGTTGATGGTGCAACTCATAATGGATCAAGTGGCGCATTATGAGCTGCACCATCACTGAATACAGAACACTGAAATCTGCAACAAGTGCAACACGCATTTCATCATGAGAAGCCAGCATCAGTTAATCCAAGGGTGTGCTGTACCTCCTAGGACAATACAAGACCACACGTGGCAAGGCAGATCAGATTTACCATTCAGCTACTTGGCTGGAAATCATTGTGCTTTTCGGATCTACTGCCCACAAATTACAGCCTTTCCATTCAAGGACCTCTCCTTCAACAATGAGGCAGACTTGCAGCGAGTATTCGTGGACTTTTCCTCATCCATGATCCCCAAGTTTTATTGCCAGGGCTTTGGCAAAGGATGTGGTATGTTGATGGAGATTACTTTGATACCTAATGCTGAGTACCATGCGCTATACGTCTGTCTATTCTAATGATCACGAATGGCAAGAACTGGTTACCATATGTATAAGACTACCACAACTAAATTATTGAATAAAAAATTCTAAATTTGGGTTTCATGATGCCGTTAACTGCCTGTAGAAATTTGCGAAAACTTTTCAGAAATGTATTACGTGTATGAATAACTGTTGCATGCATGAGTGCTTTCTGATATTTTTGCGATTATTTATTGGTTGATTCCACCAGCGTCCGAGTGGCAAAAACAGCTCAAATCTGGCAGTTCCAGGGTTTGCGGTTTACCAGGTTTTGAGCCCCGGTAAACCGGCTGGCTGCATGGACGTTTTCGTGTGTAACTTGGATATGAATGTCTCCTTTTCCGCATAATGCCTAATGGCGGAGCACGTTATAAATAAATAAATATTTATTGGTAGAGTACTCCAGAATGTTGGCCTGTAAAGTGCTTTTTGTTAATACTTATAAGAAATTGTAATATATCGCATGTGCTTGAAAAGTAAATTTATCCTACGTATCTAATTTATTTCACACAATTAAAGGTTTCAAGTTAGAAAGTTCAAAGTGTGTAAATATTGTAAGCTTTCAATATTTTATTGATATATATATATTGTTTCTACATAAGCATAATAATGTATGCTAGTTATTCAGAAGTACTTTTTATTAAATTCTGAAAAATAATGATTGAAATATATATAAAAATACATTAACATTTGACAGGTTATATGAGTAGCTACGTGTTATTTAATTAAAATTGTTAAGCAGAATATAAGTGATATACGCTAATTCTTATTTGTACTATCGTACTTTCTCAACGCAACTTCGACTACATTCTAATTTCTTATGAAAATATGCTTACATGTATGTCGGTACAATATTCAGTATAAAATATTTCTTAAGTTGTAGAGACATTAGGATTTTTTTGGAAGCAAGAGAGATTGAAAAATTAGCAGCGCCTTCTCCGGGACTCGAACCGCGGACCTCTCAATTACGCGCTGAGCTTGCAGACCACTACACCACAAAGGCTCGCTAAGAAGGCGGCAGAAATACCTTATATACAACACCTTTTAAAGGGCGACTGGGGTTTTTAGGGGACCCAATCGCCAAATCCTGGGTGAGGAGAATCATCATCCAACACGCTTTTAGTTCGGGCGCCACTGTAGAGTCATTAGGATTTTTTTTTTGGAAGCAAGAGAGATTGAAAATTAGCAAAGCCTCCGCCGGGAATCGAACCGCAGACCTCTCAATTGCGCGCTGAGCATGCAGACCACTACACCACGAAGACTCGCTAAGAAAACGGGAAAAATATCTTATAAAGTATTTAATTTCCTCATGTAGCAGTTGCACAAAATTTGTCTATGTTGACTTAAATGTGTACTTCATTAAGGCTTTGGAGTCATAATTTTAACTTATATTTTTTCACTAATATATTTCACACTAAATGTTTACGCTTTTACATAACGTTTACCAAGAGATTTACATTACATTTAGTCTTCAGAAAAATGTAATTTGTTTTTGAATAAATAGAACTATTTGAATAGTTTCGTAAATTTTTTTTTTGTCCCTTAGGTATAATTAGAGATTACATTTTTAGCACGCTTCATAATGCATTTTAACGTACCGTAAATGAAATAAATATCATAAAGGAACATTTTGAAAGGTCTTTATAGTCTATAGGCTTGTGATGAAAAATCTACAATCAAAACTAACTTTTCTGTAGGGAGAGAAACAAGGGAAACTTCACAAATCCTGGCATACACTTCTGCAGAATCTCCAAATTTTAATAGGTTATAAAAGTAAGTATCAAGGAATGTGAATAAAAAATAAGTATTATGTTTGAAATAATTTGTTTTTTATACCTTATCGTAATTAGCTAAATATTTGTTAATTACACATTAGAAATAATGTATAATTTCAATTTTATTAGGGGAAAGCAGTTTCAGTTTAGAGTTTAAATACTGGAGGGCTTAAATCTATTCTCGCTGTGTATGTTTGTAGAATAGCAAATCAGTGTGAGATAAAAGCTGTGCTTGATTATACTGTTTAAAAATTATCGTCCAGACACACTGTAATAAATCATTAGAGTTCAGGTATATAATGTGATAAAATTATGTAACACTAAAATTAACAATTATATAACATTAAAGAAGAAAGTTTCTTGTTTACAGATTTTTCACGAGGGAATGTAAAATAAACCAAGAAATTTCTACGAAAATGATTTAAGTACATTTCATGAGTATGTTAAAATCTCCTTTTTTAATACATACAAGGTATATTTAGTGGAATTAAATTACAAAGGTAGTAATAATAATCAGTGCAATTTAATTTACAAATGAAAGTACATATAACTCAAAGACGAATGTTTAATTAACGGTCTAAGGCTAACGTATTCCCAATCCATGGTGTAATATAGTCCCAGTTCATTGTTCAATATAGCCTCAGTTTATGGTTCAATATATTCCTAACTCATAGTTCAACATTCCTCATTCATGGTTCAATGTACTGCCAAATCATGGTTCAACATATTACAAAATAATGGTTCAGCCAAAGCACCAAAATAATGGATCAATGTTTCACCATCTTTTTTTGGTTGCAACATTTTTAGCCCCATAATTTTGTGAATCCTCCAACCAAATTTTTAAGAAAGTATTAATCCATCGACAGTAACCATTGATAAATTTATGAAGAATTCTTATGAATTCATTCATTTTTCTATTTTTGAAGAATTCTTTTTGTGTTAAAATAACACAAATTATGCTTTTGATGTTGGTTGCAAAATAATTTGCATCATAGAAATATTAAATAAAAATATACAAGTACATTTTTGGACTGCGTGCTAGAAAGACCTTACACATCTATCTGATTAATAATTAGTCAATGCTAATAGCAGCTTTCATAATACATTCAATCGAAACAAAAATTTCGCTTCTTTTATTTCTGTGAGCACTGGGAATGAGTTAATCATACTTCTGTAAACTTTTGATGTGACTCTTAAAAAAGCATTATTAAGGATCATCAGCATTATTATGCAATGTCATTTACCCATAAAATAATGAAAATATTTTAAAGTGGTATATATATACTTTCGTATATAATTATATATATATATTCGTATATAATATATATATACTTTCGTATATATATATATACATATATTCGCATATTTTAAAAGTCTACATTCTGTTATTAATTTATCTTTATGCTGAATTTCAAACATTCTCAGTAACATTATATTCACTCAGTTCCTCATAGCTATTCTTATCATAATGAAGTTCCAGATATGCCTTTTAGGGACTTAAATTATGAATTCTATCAAATGCACTTTGTAATATTTTTCTTGTCTGCTGCCTTTCTGCCTTGTTGTATTCTGATAAATAACCAAGTCAGATATAATAACAGTTTGGGTAGCACCATTTCTTTCTTTCTTTCTTTTTTTTTTTTTTTTTTTTTGTCGGATTACCAACAGATATAAATAGAGATTTTTTTTCATATCATCCTCATAATCGGATTCATAATAATAAGTGATTGCTGCATATCTTAGCATTCTTTATGTTGACAATATCCGCTATTGACATTCGTGCAGCCATGTTAGTGTGCTGTTGTGACTTATCTCATCTGTCTGACAGCAACATCAGAACAAGTCCACGAAATTCATCGTGGCAAGAAGTGCAAGATTGCGCCTGTGGTTGGCAAGAGCCTTGAGGACCATATAGGTGAGGGTACGACTTTGCTAGTTCCGCCCGCAATTTTGATGGAGAGCTTCCCGAGGGAGGGGATGGATCCGACGGTCTCCCAACCCTCTGCCCTTACCATGAACCTCTCGAGAGGACTTTCGGCTCACCATGTATTTAGTGTGCCCCCATGCCCCAGAGAAACTATACATTTACAAACATTCATGTTTTCTCCTGGTTTCAAACCCCGCCCTTTGGTATTGCAGTAGGCTGCCCTAACCACTATATCATATGAGCGACGCGGGCTGCCATTCTTTCGTTAACTGAATGTTTTTATGCGAAAAACCGATGAAATATCTTTTTTTTAAATTTCAGATTATGATACATATAACTGTCGGTAGAGACGACACAAGACACCGTTTCTTCAGGATTTTCCCTCTGCAAACACTTTCTAAATTCAAATTCAATTTTAAAATATCTTCAGTTACGATTTTCAAGTAAAAGGAACCTCTTTCTCTGACGAACTAAAAGATCTAAACCAGGGATCACCAACCTCTTTGTACCTTAGGAGCGCATTCTAGAATATCAATGGCGTAGCGGACATATTTATTACTTCATGTAAATTAACAGGGCGAAATAATTAATTAAAATATACATAAAAATTATTCCCAAAAGATAATTTTAAGATATAAAAGCTAGTGACGGTATTCTTACGTAAAATAAATAATTTCTGAATAATACAGACAAAAGTTCACAAATTCTTTTATAGAAATGTGATTCATAAAGTCAATGCGATATTTGGCGATGCATTTCATAAATCATTGCTTCATAATTAGGAGATTATGATGAAATTCCTGCTCGTAAGCAATCATCAAGACGTTCATATGTAAGTCGAGATCTGTACTTTGATTCTGTGATACTCATTGTTGGAAACAATGATATTTGACATTTTTTAATTTTTAACAAATAACAGGATCAAAATGACGAATTGGCTTGGACGCCAGTCTGGTAAGCACAATTAAAATTATAAACGTATAATTATAAGCATGTAATTTGTAGCTCATATTTCTCTAATTAATTACTAACTATACAAAAATTTAATAACATTTCATTAAAAACTTAATATATGTTTCGGTAATTTTCTGATTCTTTTTATTACCCTTATTTTTATCAGTAGAAGTATGGAAAATATGAATTCAATTGGCTGTTTCATATCTATATATGAATTTTTATCTGTGCACTTAAGTTCCGGAGAATAGGGAAAATATTCTTTGTTTATGCCACACTAATTAAGGGAATTACTAGATTACATGGGAATAAAGAGGTTCTGGGAGAAAAACTAAAATAAAAATTATTGTAATTATTTTCTTAACTTTCCTACTACCAAAAGTTACATTACCGTTGGCATAGTTGTTACGAGCATCATAACGGCGGCATCCATGGTTTAATGCTCACCAGCAGCCGAGCGGTATGGTCGTTGAACAAAGGTAGTTCGACCCGGGTTCGAATCTCGGGAGCGGTCTGACTGCATGGAAATTTTAGTGGTTTTATTTTAACCAAGACTATTGATTTCGAAGGCGCACAGGTGCGTTTTCCTCATCATCAGAAGAAAGAAAATGCTGAGATTAAAATATATGCCAAACAGAAAACTGTTGTTTTGCCTAGTTTATGTTTTACTTTGGCTTGTTTGTCTTCTGTCTGTGAATTATTCGTTTGTTCGAATACGGCAAAGCACGCAAGAGTTATTTGCATGGAGGTAG